TCGAACCCACCACCTTCGGTGTATGTGGCTGGTGCCTTAGCCACTTGAGTCACAGGCGCTGAGCCCAGTTGTATGACTTTGAACAAGTTGCTTAACTTCTCTGAGTTTACTCATTTGGAGCCAATAATGGAAATAAGAGACCCTACTTTATACAGCTGTGATTAAATGAGATAAAGTGTTCAGTAAATAGTGGCTGCTTGTTACTGTAGTTACTGTTGCTTTATGCTATCTCATTATACAATGTCAGTGGCACCTTCCAGAGGGTATTATGTTGCCTGCCAGAGGGAGAGGGCAGGGACTCAACTGGCATGGGTCAACGGTCAGGCAGCCTTGTCAATGAGTTCATTAATGGCCCAGAAAAAGCCTAGGCTCACTCCAAGGAGTCCTGGGTAGCATTAAACCCTATTATTTCCTTTGCATTCTCACTCTACCCTATCCTCGGCCACAGTAGAAAGAGGGGGGACTGCCACAGGGGAAGGGTAGTCCCTATTACCCAGTCCCATTTTATTGCTCACTTACAACATTGCATTGGGCAGTACTCAACTTTCCTGCCTGTCGAGCTAGGATTGTAATCTCAGCTCAGCTTCCTTCCCCAGATCCCTCTTGATGAACGGAAGATACTGAACCATGGTTTTGTGCTTGGTTCCAGGTTTTAGCCTGTGAAAACCTGGGCCTAGCTGTGTAGGGCCAGGGCTGGCATGGATGGTGGCTTGGACCTGTTTGGCAGTAGGACCAAGGTAGATAAAGCAACAAAGGTCATGGGTCACAAAGAGAGGGACTGCAGTAGGATCAGAAATAATCAGCATAGTAGGACTACTCTTTAGGCCTGAGCACTAGAAAGGCCCTGATATTGGTAGTGGATTTTTTGAGACCTTGATAATAGGGCTCTGTGAGTAGTAGGGTGTGTGAACTAAAAATCTTAAGCGCTCTCCCCCTCACCCCCCCGTGACTGACTGGACTCCTTCTTAGCCAAAGGGATCCCTAAAACAGTTCCTAGCCATGAGAAAGGAGGTCAGACATGCCTCACCGTGCTCCCCTCCCTTCTTGGAGATATCTTTAGAAACTCATTAGAAGGCTTAGATTTCACTTCCTGCACCTCCGCTGATGTCCGGGGCCGTGACCCACAGTTCCCTTACAATCAGGGCCCCGTAGAATTTCACAAAATGGATTTTCCAAGCCTGGCGCACTGCCCTATGGGGATACTACAGATGCTCAGGTGCTCAGGGTAGGCACGCTGGTCAAGACAGAAGAAAGACCGAGGACGCCACGGGAGGGCGCGCAGGGCCAAAGGGAGGGTGGTGGGTCGGCCCGAGGCTTCCGGGCGCTTCAGGCGTCTACAGCGGCCAGGTCTGCAGAGCAAGAGTCGGGGGGTGTGAAGAGCTCAGGTCCCGAAGCCAAGGAGACGCGTCCCTGCAAGAGCGGTCAGCCTAGGCCCAGCGGCTAGCCGAGGAACGCCCCCCTAACTCGGAAATCACCACCCAGCCGCCTCCCCTCTCGCGTCTGCAGAAAGCCCCGGCAGATCCCTCCAAAGCCCAGCCCCCGGTCTCGGGCCCGCCCCTCCCGAGCCCCCCTTGTTGGTCCTTCCCGCCAGCAGCTGGCGCTTTTTGGAACGTGCCCTTTACCCGACCCCCGGACGACTCTGTCACTTTTCTTGGCTTGTGGAGGGCGTGACATTTTACAAGGGGTGGCCCAGAAAAATCTCGCAGAGAAGGTGACGTTAAAGACATTTCCTTTTTCTTTTTTTAGAGACAGAGTCTCACCCTGTCGCCCTCGGTAGAGTGCTGTGGTGTCACAGCTCACAGCAACCTCCAGCTCCGGGGCTTAGGTGATTCTCTTGCCTCAGCCTCCCAAATAGCTGGGACTACAGGCGCGCTCCACAACGCCCAGCTAATTTTTGTTGCAGTTTGGCCGGGGCGGGTTCGAACCCACCACCGTCTGTATATTGGGCCGTCGCCCTACTCACTGGACCACAGGCACCTCCGTAAAGACATTTTTTTTATTGGTGCGATGAACACCGTTTGGGTGGTGGGCATGGTCATAGCCGACTCAAGCATTACAAAAAGTAATCCATGTAACCAAAACCATTTGTACCGCCTTGATAGTTGAAATTTTTTTAAAAAGCCCCGAACTTTATTACGGCATTATACACATAATACGGGTGGCCATAACGTTGACCACTATGTATTTACCACACTAACCATTTTAAAATGTATAATTTAGTGGTGGTAACTACGTTCATATTGTTGTGCAACCTTCACCACCATCCGCCCACAAAACTCTTTTCTTTTTCTTT